ATAGAAATGATGATGAAAAAATATTAAATGGATTATTATTAATGTATGACTCTGGTATGAATGAGGCTCAAAAACGATCAGTACAACAAGTTGCAACGAAGGTACATCTTCATTATTTATACTTTACATCATTGGTAATGTCAGATAATTTTGAATCAAGATTGTTGTGGAGGGTATATGTGTTTATTGCTGACATGCACAAGAAATATGTTGTTACTCAAGGAAGAAGGTCACACAAATTATTCTTTATCAATGCAATTGCACGTATTTGGAAAGAGGTATTACAATATGATTTACCATTATCAATTGAATCTCAACGATTGATTATTGAGAAATTATCAGTGAGAGATTTTATTGTTCAATTTGAACAACGCCAGGCATTGTTTGAAGAAAAATATAATAATATTAGTGTTGCTGCATATTATGTACCATTATTAAAAACGTTAGGACTAACCACTATTTTATCTACTGAGTTATTAAGAGAGGGAATACAAGGAAATTCAGTTTTAATTGGATTTAATGAATTTACTGAAGAAGTGAAAAATGAATTACATTTATTTGTCAATGAAATATATGGAACTATTGAAAGAAAAGAATACCTTCATCCATATCTTGTACAAATACAACCTACAACCATTCCTAATGATCTTGATTTTATTAGACCTCCACCTCGTTCATTCAAAACAAAACCAACTAGTCCATCAAGGGTTGCTTGTTTGCATTGGTTAAAAATATTTAAAAAATACACATCCCCAAAAGGAATATTAGCTTATCAATTTCCACCCCCAATAAGTGCTATAAAATTAACACCTTTTATAACTCCAAGTTTTGTACATAATTTAGTGGATTATTCTTCACCAAAAATGAGAGACCTTCCAACAACTGAAGAAATTACTCCAGAGATTATAGAAGAATTAAAAAATTATCTTCAGATTAAAGAACTTGTTCCATACATTCCTCCTATTGCATTAACATGTGGAATAAAATGTAAAAGGATTAAAGAAGAAGAAGAGTGTGAAGGAATGATGCAAATTAAGGAAGAAGCAGATGAAAAAGAACTAGTTTTCCAATATTCAAAAGTTCTTCATAATGAAAATATTAGTAAAGAAATTATTTTACCTTTAAAAAATGCAATCATCACAAAGAAAATGTACTTGTATCAAGATAATGGATTGGAAATAATAACTGCTGATGGAAGAATTGAATTCTTTATTTTTACAAATAAACAACGTAATAAAATTATAGAAGTTACTGGGTGTTCAGAAAGTAAATTGTTAGAGTCAACAAAGATGTGGAGTAAAGGATTAATTAGTAATTTTGAATATCTTGGAATAGTCAACAATGAAGCAGGAAGAAGTTATAGAACATTAAGTCAATATCCCATATACCCCTGGGTTATTTGTAGTTATGATAGCAAAGATTTCAGATTAAGTGATATTCAGATGTATAGAAATCTTCAACTACCAATTGGAGCACAAAAAGAGACGAATCAAATAGAAGATAATTATTATGAAAAAGAATGTCATTATAATTGTTGTCTGAGTAGTCCATCAACAGTTTTAAGATGTTTATTTAGGCTAAGACCATATACTGATATGATTTTAAAAGAAATGTCGGGAAGATGTTTAGAAATAGATGGAAGGATGTTTGTCAATGTAGGTTCATTGTTTTTAAGTTCTGTGTTACAATCAAGAATTGAATTATTACCTGAATTCTATTGTTGTCCTGAAGTATTTATGAACTTAAATCATCTTAAAGGAGAAAGTACAACCGTTGGAGATGTTAACTTTCCTCCTTGGGGAGAAACAAGTAGGTTATTCATTCATCATATGAGAGAGGCATTAGAAAGTCAAGAAGTTGGACAAACCATTAACCAATGGATTGATTTAGTGTTTGGAGTTGACCAACAAAACAGAAATAAGTTTAACGTTTATAGTAAGGAATATACAAAAGAGTCTGAAGTGGATGAACAAATTAAGGAAGTTATATGGAAAACAATGGGTAACATACCAAATAAAGTATTTATTAAACCACATCCAAAGAAATTAGTTACCCCAAGGTTAGCTTTTAATTTTCATAACCCTCATACAGAATTAATTACTACATTAAAAACAGGATGTTTATTTGCATTTGAAAATAATAAATTTTCAGTATTCACTGACCAATGTTGTACTTTTTCATTGGATAAAGAAATTTATTGTGTAAAATATGAACAAAATAAAGGTATATTTACATTAAGTAAGAATGATCAAATTATTAATAGTTTATATTGTAAGTCATTAGATGTTACTGACTTCAATGTTTTTGATAATGGAAATAAATTAGTTTATGGATGTGAGACTGGAGAATCATTTATTATTAATCAGCCATTTGGAAAAAATCCATTATTTGTTTCACTGTATGGTATTACAGATAAAGTAACTGCAATAACATATTGTATTGATTATCACACAGCAGTCATTGCATCAAGCGATGGATATATTCGATATTTTAATGAAGATGGTAAAATTAGACAAGTCATAAAAACAAATGAAGTTATAAATAAAATGTTATTTAGTGACAAAAATGGAGATTTAATTACTTTATCAATTCAACAAAGTAGAACAATTATTACAGGATATTCTATTAACGCATATAAATTTGCTGAAACTTTAATAAATACTACTATCACGGCTGTAACAATTACTCATTTCATTGATGGATCAATTATGAATGTTTTGGCACTAGGAAGTGATCGGGGAGAATTGATGTTATATGAAGTTGAGAAATTGGAATTATTAGGTTCTTGTTATGGTGGACGTTCATTAAATTCTTCAAAAAATACTTCAAAAGTGCTTTCAGTTCTTTTTGTTGAAAATTATTCAAAACTTTATTTCTTTGTAGAGTGTCTTGATGGAGTTGATGTATTAGAAATAAAATGATTGTTTTTCATTATTTTTGATGCTTTTATTTTCTAGATTATACATCAAAGTATATAAAAAAGTGAAAATCTAATAAATCAAAAAGTATAATAAAAAGTATTAATAATGAACCATTAAATAAAAACTCAATTGTTTATTTAATTTTGTAATGAACTCCATACTGCATGTAGCAGAAAAACCGAGTGTAGCAAGTGCTATTTCATACACCTTATCTCGTGGGACATGTAAAAAAACACCAGGACTATCTAAATATAATTCTGTGTTTTCATTTGAACATGAATTTAAAAATGATGGGAAGTGTACTCATTATGTTACTTCTGTTGCAGGGCATTTGAAAGGAATTGATTTTACTACAGCTTACCGTTCATGGGGTAGTTGTGATCCTGAAGAACTTTTCACGGCACCAATAGAAAAGAGTGTTCCATCCAATATGAAGAAAGTTGAGTTAAACTTAAAAAGTTTAGCAAAAAAATGTCAGGTATTAGTATTATGGCTTGACTGTGATAGAGAAGGAGAAAACATTTCTTTTGAAGTTATTGAAGTATGTTCTGAAGTTAATTCAAAGATGAAAGTATGGAGAGCTCATTTTAATAGTTTAGTTCCTAATGAAATTATTAAAGCATATAACACATTGACTGCTCCTAATAAACATATGAGTGAGGCTGTTGATGTAAGACAAGAAATTGATTTAAGAACAGGAGCTGCTTTTACAAGATTTCAAACAACATTACTAAAAAATAAATCAAAAGCATTAGAAGGGAAAGTATTAAGTTATGGTGCATGTCAATTTCCTACTTTAGGATTTGTTGTTGATAGATATTATCAAATTAAGGCATTTACAAAAGAAACCTTTTATAAAATTAATTGTGTTGTAGAAAAAAATTCTATACTAACCGAATTTCATTGGGATAGAAATAGGTTATTTGATAGGTTGATATGTGACTTATTATATGAAGATGCGTTGGAATATATAAACTCTGCAACTATTACTGAGATATTAGAAAAAGGTCGAACCAACTTTAAACCATTACCATTAACAACAGTTGATCTTCAAAAAGCATGTTCTAAGTATTTTAAAATTAGTTCAAATGAAACAATGAATATAGCAGAGAAGTTATATAACTCTGGGTTAATTAGTTATCCACGAACAGAAACAAATATATTTCCTTCTGATATGAATCATAGAAAACAAATTGAAATGTTTCAAGAGAATCGTATATATTCATCATATGTCCAAGAATTACTAAATGGTAAAATGAAAAATCCAAGAAATGGAAAAGCAACTGATAAGTCTCATCCTCCTATTCATCCAACAAGAAATGCTAATTTAAATGATTTGTCAGAAAAAGAAAGAAAAATTTATGACTTCATTGTAAGAAATTATTTAGCAAATATGTCAGATGATGCAAGGGGATTTGAAACAAAAATTGGATTACAAGTTGGTAATGAAAGTTTTCATTGTAATGGATTGATGATTACGGAACGTAATTATTTAAACATTTTCCCATTTAGAAAGTGGTCAGATAAAGAAATTCCAGAGTTTCATGAAGGAGAAAAAGTCCAATTAAATTGTTTTGAAGTGAGTTATGGAGAAACATCACCACCAAAACCATTAACAGAGCCTGAGTTAATTCAACTTATGGATAAAAATGGAATTGGTACTGATGCAACCATTGCACAACATATTCAAAAAATTCAAGAAAGAGAATATGTTATTGTTAAACAAGGATCATTTATTCCTACAAACTTAGGACTTGCATTAGTTGAAGGGTATGACTCAATGGGTTTTGAATTTTCTAGACCACAACTTCGAGCAGAAACAGAAAAAGAATTAACAAAAATATGTTCTGGAGAATCTAACAAGGATGATGTTATAAATACTTTTATTGAACAGTACGAAGAATTATATGAACGGGCACAATTCAACAAGAGTAAATTAGTTAATGCAGTAAAGAAATTAATGCCACAATAACAATAATATAATTTAAATTTGTTATTTAACAGTAAGACTCAAAAATGATTTATTTTTTATTGGCTTTTCAATGACTTAAATTCATCCACTATAATTGATAATTATAAATGACTAATTCTTTGACTCCACATTATAAAGCTGCTCTTAAAATGAAAATACAAGTGTCTTATTTTGAGAAACTTATGCAAGAATGCATTATAAATGAATTATTACCAATAAGCACTCTATGGAAATGGAATGAAATTGTACGTAAAAGACAAATACTAGAATTTTATGGAACAGGTTATTTAAAAGAAAGAATTACATTAAAAATAATTTCATCATTTGAAGTATGTAATTTGAACTTTCTTACTAAATTACGAGGATGTATCTTAAAGAAACGAGGGGAAGTTTTTGATTTATTAAAACTAAATGACTATCTAACCTATAAAAAAGATGACAACCAAAAGGAATCTTTTATGATAGTTTTTCTTGGAGAATGTGGATTAAGAAAGAATCTAAATTCATTAAATTTTGAAATGAAAAGATTGATTCAAGAGATAGAATATTTCGTGATTAACTTTCTCTTTGTGAAAGGGTGTAATGATTATTTTGATTCACCTTTAAAAATTTTAGTTCTAACTCCTTACCGAAGAAATTACTATTTTAAAAAGAAAGCAAAACCACCTCATATAGATAGTATCAACATAAGTTCCTTATTTGATTTATCAACTGAAATTTGAGAGTCTATCTATTTTTAAAAACATACCTCAAATTTCTTGATAAAAAAGATCTCCTAATAAATAGAATGTCAGTTTCTATTCATTTAACAACACGAAAGGTCGAAGTGCAATGCACAGTACCAACAGAGTCAACAAGTAAAATTCGTTGGCAATCGTTTAATGGTAAAATTTATGTTGATTATAATAGTAAATTAAACGAAGACATTGAACATCATTATCTAATTAATAACAAAGGAATCTTTGTTTTAGACAAAGAGCGGTATATTGATTTTAATGAAATGCTTGAGTGTAGATTAGATGTTAATAATAGAAACAGAATAATTCGACGATTTGTTGATAGTCATTACGAAGAACGTGTTCAACAAGAATATCAAAGAAAGTCTGAAGAAGAAGAGAAAAGAAAAAGTGAAGAAGCTAGGTTTAATGAAATTCTCTTAAGAAGAAAATCAAGCAATGAACTAAAAAAGAGAAAAGCTTCTACTAGTATTCGTAATGACACAATTGTTTTAACTAAATCTGAAGTTACATTTGAACTTCCTAAACAATCCCTTGCTTTTCTAAGAAGGAAAAGTATTGAAACTAAACCTATTTCAGAAACTCAAACAATTCCAATAGAATTTGATCAATTTTTAGATGAAATACCATTTACATTAACATCACCTGAATCAACGCAAACAATACAAAGCTCTGACAAAGGTATTTTTGATGAAGCGTTTAATACCCAAAGGCAGTTAAAAGATACGAGCAGAGAAGGTGTTGTAGGAATTAGTCCAACAAAAGAGGAAAACCAAAACTTCCATTACACTCAAGAAAACCAAACTGAAAATACTCTAAACAATATCACATCACAAGAAATGCAGCAAAACTCAATTAGTACTGAAAGCAATGAATTAGCTCAATTGATGTCAATCATATCATATCTTTCTCAACCTTCTTTAAATGAAATTATATTTTGTATGAAAAAAGAATCTAAATTTTTTACTGGAGAAAACATAAAAATTCTTGGGAGTCTTAATGAAGATACAATTAAACAATGTGAATTTCATGGAGCAAAGTTTAAAACGAAATTAACTTCTTCAGTCACTGTATGCATTATTGGTAATAATTTAATAGACTTTAAAGATGTACTTAAACAAATGAAAATTTGTAATGAGAAAAAAATTGATGTAGTAGGAATAGAATGGATTTATGATTGTTTAACTTGTCAGTTGAAAATAGATAGAACAGGCTATTGTTTAAACGAAGAAGATTTAATAGAAATAAACCAATTAAAAAAAATCAAGGAATAATGAATTAGATTCAAAAAGAACTATCATAAACTTGTTCCAAAATTGTAATTAAAAAAAGTTGTTTCAGTTTGTTTCATGTTGATCTTGTTGTGTTGGAGTAATATCCCGACTTCTTCTATCTCCCATAACAAATCCACGAGAAGTTGCTGTGAGATGACCTGTACGAGTTTTTTCATTTGTACCACCCATTTGCCAACCAGTGGTATTATGTTTTTGTTGAGGAGTTTCTTGTTTTTTTTGATATGAATATTGTCCATGAGCTTGTGTTGCTAATGGAACAGAAACTTGAGGATAATTTGATGCACTTTTAATTGAGGCTTTTGCTTGTTTATTTGTTTCACGTTGTGTAAAGAAACCACCTCGCTGAGGAGGTCTTTTTTGGAATGAAGATACAACTGGAGCTGACTGGAACATATTTACGTGCTGTTTAGGTGTTTGGGAAGGAGAAACAAAGGTTGTATTTGATTGAGGAGATGGTAAATTATTTTGAGGAGATGTTGGAGTTGTTTTTGGAATAGGCTGTGGCTCTGACTTAATTACAGAAGGAGAAACATCTTCAGAAGAAGAAGAACGGTTTTGTAACAATTCTAATTGACGAATCTGTTGTTGTTGTTTTTCTTGTTGCTGAACAATCTTTTTGAAAGCAAATGATGATTTTGACATACATGAATTATCTTGTTGAGGTTTCTGAGAAGTAGTAGCCTTATTAAATAATGAATTTGATTTTACTTGGTTTGTCTTTGTTGGTGAAGTTGTCAAATCTTCAGAGCTGTCTTGTGCTTTTTGTCTAATATCTAAAGCCCTAGGTTTTGTTGGTGTAGTAGGAGAAAGTAGTGGAAGATCAAAGTCGTCAAGAGTAAAATTAAGTTCTGACGTATTAAAAGATTTTCTGAAAGATTCATTGAATAACATATGAATTTCTGCGTGTGGATTTAAATCATCAGAATAGGACTTAATAACTTCTAATGCAGCTCTTCGACTAATTTGAGATATATTACCATTGTTTTGCCTTAAATATGCTTCACAAGTTAATTTGATAAATAGTCCTAAAGAACCTAAACTAATGTATTGAACATTTAACATTGGTCCAACACATTTATTTGATAAAACTCTAAAAATATCTGAATTATCATGTTCAATGATAATATATAATTTATCATCATGTTTTAATGTTGAATATTCTTGTATTTCATTTCTTTCTTTCCATTCAATTACAATCTCTTCTTTACCTTTGGCTTCATTAGGAGTAGCGTATATTGATGGAATATTATAAATTACATCCATTTCTGAATTTGAGTTACACACAAACATAGACTCTTTATCATACTTCCCTTTATAACCAACAAACGTTTCGCCATCAACTAAGGTTCCAAGATTACTTACAAATTCAACAAAAAGTTGATTGTTTTGTTTAATTTTTAATTCAACATTTCCAGTAATTTTTGTTGCAACAGAGTCTAATTCTACCAATTCATTTAATAATTTCTCATTTGTATTTAATGGGATTAAATTCATATGAGAAATTTCCATTAAGTGAATGCTCATACAGAATAACCTAATGGGAGAACAGTTAAAGTTCGAAGACTCTTGAACAATATGTTTCAAATTCGGTAGATGTAGTGAAGCACGTTTTTGTGATGCTGGTTTAGGATTTAAATAATGATCGAGATTGAAAAGAACTGATTGATGTGTCCATGTCTCTTTTTCATTAAAACAAGGATATCCAATAGTGACTTCTTGATAATTAATATTGTTTTTGATTAAAGTCCATTGTTCATTATCCATAAGATATCTAATGATGTATGTTTGTTTAAAATATGCAGTTCTAGAAATAACAAGAATGTCACAAAATTCATTATTCATTGTCCATGGAAGATCAATATAAGAAATAACTGAATGAGAATCAAAGAATATTTGGAAATGATCAAATATATTAGTTATATTGTATTGTTTAAATAAGTTATAAATAAGAACTTCATTAATAATATTATCTTTAAAAGAGTCTGGCATTAAGTTATTAAACAGAGAGCTCATTAATTCTGAATCAAATTTATAAGTTACTGCTAACATAGGATCATTTGTTATTAAAGAATTAAAAAATGAACATATCTTACTACATAATCTTAATGATGCTATCAAAACATTTGATGGTAAATTTGGATAACACTTTGAGAAAAAGAGTGCATATACTGATAATACTGGATGAATATTTTCACAGGTTTTATAATTTAATTCAACAAAATTAGATAAAACTTGGAAAATTTCTTGGAATGGTCCTTGAGGAGATGAAAGACATGGAATAATTTGATTAAGAGTTCTTAATAATTCAATAATGTTATGATATTTCTTTGCATTGAATAAACACTCAAACCAATACAATCCATTTTGACTCATTTCTTTAATAAATTCTTGTAAAACAAAATCTGGTGAGTTGTCATCAATTGTTATTATTTCAAATTCACGAGTGACATAATCAAGGAAGAACCTATTAAAACTTAATAATAATGAATCTAATACATCTGGATCCTTTGAAGTTTTTAAGATACTAAATAATACGGACCTTGTTTTTTCTATGAGATTGTGGTATGAAAATTGAATGGATGAACGTCTTGGAATTGTAGGAATCATAATAGTTTCCCATTGTTGTGAGAAAGAAAGTTGGATCAATTGTAATAATGATAATATATCTAATAATTGGTCTTTTGAAGTTGAGGCTGAAGCACAATATCGTTCCATTGTTATCATCAAGTTTGGATATAATACTTCAATACCAGGTAATCTTTTTTTAAATAAACTAGGAAGTTGTTTTAAAATAAAAGATAATACAATACTATTTTGTGTATCAATTCCAAAAGAGATGACATGATAAATTTTAATTAAATAAGATTGGTCAATAGTATTATTAAAGGCAAAAGTATTAATTATAAGAAATAATGTTTTTAGAGAGAATAAGATTGCCCCAAAATAAATATGGTGTGATAGATATATTACAGGAAAACTGATAGTATCAAAGTATATAGATAATATAATGTTTCCATCAGGAGGTTGTTGAATATTTTTATTATTTGTATATGAGATCATCTGAACAATTAAATTATAAAATCCTTCTTCAACTAACTCAAGAACATCTGGGTTAGTTATGTTTGCAACATTTCCACAAAAATCTATTTATTATAAATAATTACTTATTTATTTAAATTTGAATAATATTTAACTAACAAACGAATAAAATGAAGCCACATTTTAAGTAATGAAGTTGATGAAGTAGTTAGTGTAAAATCATATTCTTCATTTTTTAATGACAATACTCCATTATCTAATTTTGTTATATATAATGTATCAAGATATTTACTTTGAATGTACTGTGCAATTTTAACCCATTCTAAAGCAATTGTATTAATTGTAATCCATTGTGGATGTAATTTAGAAATTAACTTTACTAAACTAGAATCTTCATTAGAATGTTCAACCCACATCTCATAAAAAAATCGAATTAATACACCAGCTACTGGTGAAATAAATACTAATTCTTCATTAGACCACTTATACCCGCAAACATCTTGTACACACCCAATAACTAATCTAAACATTCGAGTAACTTCATCACCCTGTTTTTCTAATGACTTACTAAGTACCCTTAACATACTAATAACTTTTTTACATAACTCACAATATTTTGGAAATACATTAAAATTTTGTGGTGTAGTTTCTCTTTTACATAAAACCAAAGTTAGTTGTTCACATACAACACGTTTAAATTCTTTAAATTTTTGAACGATAGGTTGAGGGGTATATTGTTGTAGAATAAACCATGATTCATATATTTTAACACACTGACCAATTGTTTCAAAACATTCAACTGGAAGTCTCAAACCAGCACCAATTATTTCCATCATCCTATCGAATTATTATCAGTCTTCTTTTTTGTTCTACTAAATAAAAATAACAAACCACTTACAATGCTCTTCAGTGTTCAAACTTGCTTGAAATTGATTTAAATTATTTACAATAGACCCTGAGACTTGATGAATAATTGATATTTGAATTTCTTTTGTAAGAACAGAAACTATATTTGTATGAGGATCAAGGTTAAGAAGTCCTAGTGTTTGAACAGTAGGTGAAAACATTGATTTTATGATTAATCTTTTTTTCTTTCATAGTTTTTATTTTTCGTTTCAAATTTTCATTACCAAAATCTTTATTACTCCTCAAAAATATTTCTAGTACTAAATCTCATAATTCTTTCCCTTTCTTTTATTTTTATATCCTTTTAAAAATAAACAAAATTGGTAATATATAACAAAAATGATTAAATTCGGAC